CTCCTGAATCCAAACTGGAAGCTGGTTCCACAGAAGAGGGGCCTGAAAACTGAAGGCTCTGCCTCCCATTCTACTTTTACTTCTGATTTTACTTCTGATTACAAGGTGAGCACCCAACTCTTGAGCCACGATCGCCCCATCAGTTGTTTAAAGCTTGGCTTTGCTCTGCTCTCACTGGGCTTGTTTTGGGACTTAAAGTGCACATCATGCATCTGTTCTCACCGTTGCTCCAAATCTAGCATTTTTATTGGGCGTATATCTTCTGTAAGCTCAGTAAAGTCCTGCTAGTTTCCAGCTCAGGTCCATAATATCACAGAGAGGCTGACGGATCGGCTGGATGGCGAAATTTTGCTGTTTGCGTCGTGTGGGCGAAGCTGATTATGGAGGTGCGAGTTATTCATTCAGCTTTATTTATGCAGACATGATACAGCGTAAGCTCAGTAAACAGAAAGAACCAGACGGACAGAAAATCACTGGATTATTTCTTAAAAACAAAGAAAGAAAAAGACATTCTGGAGTGAACCTGTTTTCACAAAGAATCCCATTTTACCACTAACAGCCCTCTAAATGACACGGTGCAGTCCGCAGATTACTATGGACACGTGGTGGATCGGTCGTTGGACGGGTCCAAGGAAATCTATTATTTTATACTTTTGTAAACGTTCATACTGAGTGATGCAGCTGGACGATGAAAGCGAGAGACAACATTTAAAGGTTTTAAAGAGATTTTGAGTCTTAAACTTGTCGGGACGGGCACTTTGTCCCCACAAGTATAGTAGCAATCCAATTTTCTGTCCTCACAAAGATGGCTAAACGCGCACATGGATCCCTGCGTCAGTCTGTTTAACTGGAACATGACATTTGAGACTGTGAAACGGTTGCTGGATTACAGCGCAGAGGCTTTTACCGCTGTCTGTCACGAAGGACAGCTGATTGAAGGCCGGCTGCTTCCTGTTGTGGCTCACTGCGTTTGCTCTCTCCCCTTTGAACAGCGGCGAGGATCCGACGTCAAGGAGGACGGCAGCGATAAACCCAGACGTAACGTCAGCTGGCAGGACAAAGGTAACGCAAATAAAGAGAGAGCGCTGCAGCCTCAGCGGGCTCTTTCTACTTA